GCCCGCCCCGCCTCACCCTCCTCCCCGCCTCACCCTCCTCCCCGCCCCGGCCGCGCCGAGCCCCCGCCCCTTCCCCCCAGCGCTGCCGGGGGGGCTTCGGCTGCCAGTCTGCCTGGAACCGGGCTCGGGCGGCGGGACCTGGGCCGCCACGGGAGGACACGGTCCAAGTTCCTGCCTCCGCCCTCTTTCTTACCGCCACGGTGACTGTTCCCCTGTGCCCCATCCCTCTCTCTCCAGCCCGGTGGGTTCCCGGTCGTGAGGTGACGCGAATAGGCGTAGGTGCTGGGGTCTGGTAGAGGCTCCGGGTTGTACCGTTTTCCTAAAAGAATCATTCGCTTATCTACGGACCTGTCTGGCGTCGGAGAGGAGGCACTGGGGAAATAGAGGAGAAAGGCTTAGCAGGCTGGGACTTCCTTGCTCAACTTTTCTCCTCTCCACCCCCTCCCCCCAAGGCAGGCTTTTGATACTACGCCACCAGAAAGATCGTAGAGCTGACTCTCTTCTGCTTTGGCTTTGGTGTGTGTGGGAGCAGTTTTGATCAGAGAGAATGCTTAATTTGCCAGTCTCCAGCCGCATCAGAAAAGCGCCAAGAAAGATTCTAGTCTTACCTCCCCTTTGATAGGCTCTGTCGTTGTTTAGGATGATAATTGCGGGAGGTGCCTTCTCTGCGCTTGTGGCTGGAGTCTTTGAGGTTGCTTTTCATTGGTCAGCGGGATTGGATTAACCGAGCTGTTTTTTCCTTCTGCCCTGGAAAGTAGTTGTAGCTTTTCTAGGTCACCCCTTCCCTCGGCCCGCCCCCAAACTCAGCTACAACGTTTAGTGAGAGTACTGAGGTTAAGCTGCCAAAGCAGTATCTTTTTTGAAACTTCTGAACTTCTGAAAATGCCAAAGCAGTATCTTTTTTGTTTTGTTTTTCTTTTGAGACCCCATCTCACCGTGTAGTGCAGGCTGACCTTGAAGTTACTATGTAGCCCAGCCTGGCCCTGAATTTGGGGTGAGCCTCCTTTCTCAGTCTCCTGAGTGCTAGACTTACAGGCATGTGCTTCCAAAGCGGTATCTTAAACTTCACTTCGTCCCCTCCCCCCCAACCCCCAACTAAGCGGGTGTAGATGCAGGAGCATAACTGCTATGGACTTGTTTGCATTTGTGTTTATAGTACAATACAGTACCAGGATTTTATGTAGCATTCTATTTTGAGTACCGGGTGATAATCTAAGTTCCTGTCACTTTTTTCTTTTTTTGGTCTTTTGGAGCCAGGGTCTCCACGTAGCTCCAGCTGGCCTGGAAATCACTTTGTAGATCAGCCTGAAATGTTTGGCGGTAGGCCAGGCGTGGTAGCGTATGCCTCTAATTCCAGGAAGCAAAGGCAGGTGGATGTCTGTGAGTTCAAGGCCAGCTTGGTCTACATAGTGAGTTCCAGGCCAGCTGGGGCTATAGGGAGACCCT